ATATTGTATTTTTGGATTTCAGATGTTTTGTGAAATACTATTAGAGTATAGAGAGTAAATTTTGACTTTCGAAAAAGAATTTCAAATGAAATATAAAAATTCAAAGTTGACTTTGGTGTTTCCTTGTGCTTGTGTGAGTTACATATTGTACTATACTGTGAGGAATTTGTTGAAAAACATTTTTCTCAAGGTTTTTATTTTTAGAAGTTATAAATATATTTCAGTTTTTTGATAGATTTCTTTATATTTTAATATAGAAACTAGTAGATCAGTACCAAATCAGTGTTGTTTGTTATTATAGCTTATTTCATTAACAAAATAAATATTGAATCAATAAAGCTACCTAGAGTTGTATGTACATATATGAGCAAACGATTCTCGAATAATATTATAAATGTTAACTTATTGGAACTAGTCATTGTCTCACAAATGAGATATGCAATCGATAAACTTGCCTGTGACACATCAATTCACATTTTCATGTAAATTTTAATATTTTTTTAATATTTAACTGTTTTAATGTATGTGTAATCAATCCTATGAAATTATTTTCAAAATAGTAACTGTTTATGTGCATAACATAAATATTTTGAATGTAGATAATCCATTAGGATCATAAATACTACTGAAAAAACAAGATTAATTTCTATTGACATTATAGTTTTGCGGTAATTACTAAAAGAAACTTCAAATAGATTGACGTATATGCAAAATCCTCCGTACGTATTTTTCTTGAGACCTTTATCAACGTACTAGAAATAGTATACTATTAACATGCATTTTTTTGTTTTTTTGTATTGCAAGTATATGTCTAATATTTAACTTTTTCAACTTAATCTTTAATAAGTATGCCGAGATGAATGTTAAAAAAAAAAGAACGTAAATATGACCTATTGACTGAAGTTTCTTTCTGCTCGCACATATATATATATATATATATATATAACAGCACAATTAGTATATTTGAACACTGCTTTGTACTTATCTTAATAAAAGCAACTACATCAAATACGAAAAAAATGAATTCAGCAATGATTTTAGTTCTATTTGGAGCTTTTCTACATCAAATAGCTGCTGTAACAAGTAAGATTATATTCTTTTATTTTTATAGATTGTAATTCAATGTTTAAATTTTAATAAATGTTAATTTATTGTCTAGATCAACATCCGAGTATTTGGCAAATAATAAATAAAGATGATAGACTTAAAATATTTGCTATGGCGTTAAAAGCTGCTGGTTACAACGAAGCAAGCCAAGAGAATATTTTAATAACTGTGTTTGCTCCCAATGATGCAGCTTTTGAGAAAGTTCCAAGTGATATTACCCAACATTACACAGATCCTCAAAATAAGGATGAGCTTGCTGAATTACTTGCATATCATGCTGTTAGTAATAAAAGTTTGACATCAGCTGAACTACTTAGAATGAATCTACCAGCACGTTTAGAAACACTTACCGGTGGTTTTATTACAGTTACTAAACAAGATAATCAAATTAAAATCAATAATGCTACAGTAATTGAATCTGATATTTTGGCTAGTAATGGAATCATTCATATTATAGATTCAGTTTTGTTCCCTATAAAATCAAATAAATAACAATAGATCAATAACTGAATAACATATATTTCAAGACTTATTCTGTATATTTGGAAAAAATGGGATGCTTGAAAGATTTTCTATTTTAAAAACGATAAATATGAATTGTGTTGTATATATTTAGTTTAAAAGTTCAAGTTTAATAAATAAAAAAAAAAAAAAGAAATCGATGAATTCTTGATTGCGTATATGTTGAATGAATCAATAGGAAACGTTGTTGTTACTGATTCGAATATTGATTAATTTGATTTTGGAGATTCTTTTCTTAGTTTGCTAAACTGAGTGTTATTCACTAACCGAATTCATAGGTTATAATAGCAAATTCCATCGAATGACTCTGATGACTCAGCCATTCTTCTTACATTTGAATTGATCAATATTAGTAATGAATTTTTTCGTGAATTAATGGCCATAGATTTGTGAATTACTTCGTATGATGTTTGCTGATGACTCACATCGTTTTAATTTTCTTTCAAAAATCATTGATCACTAATATCATTGAATATGATCAAACTGAATTCTATTTGAATTTGGACGTGGATCGATGAGAGTGAAGAGAAGACGTGTACCTTCACCTATACATTAACCCTACATTTCTATTCTTCAATTCGGTTTCATCAATTGGTGAACCATTGATCGCAATAATCTAGGCTTTTGTTTCGTTTTTACATGAAGATAAATAATTCATAATTGGTGCAACACTTGTTCGAGTGTATTCATCGGAATTTGAAGGTGTGGAATTTTCAAGTTTTATAAATTAGTCGTAATTAGAATATGAGAAATCGATGCATTCTTTGAATCAATCATATTTTAATTTATCTTTTAATTACGGCTAATGTGAGTATGCGAAATAACATCTCGCTTTTGTACTTGACGCTTATTATTTGTTCATGAACTTTTATCAGACATAGTTCTTCGTATGATATATGCTTTTTCTTTCACTGAGTTGCTTCGATTCTAAACGAATCAGCTCAGAATAAGTAAGGTAGATATTGGCTTTTTATTATGCAATAATAAGTCTATGCTTGATTGAATAAACAACAACCACGATTATAGAGATGACAATGTTTTATCTTGCTACAATATTTACCGTGAAAATTGAACGTCAAGCATGTAGACTAAAGTCGTTTTGTTCGTTGGAAATCGTCTCAAATCACAAGAAAACCGACTGAAATCATTTCTTTAGAGAAAGAAATCTTAAGAAGATATTCTTGCTGAAACTTACATCAAATTGATTGTTTCTCTATTTCAAAATTAAAATCTATTTTTGATCGTCTGATTTGATCTTATTTAACGAAAATGATAATCAATGATCTAGAAGATTTGATAGACAAAACAGAGAGAGGCTCCGTCAATGAATGAATCGAACTTGAAACTAAAAGACAAGAGAATGAAAGGAGCGATCATTCTTTTTATCACTGATTCACTCAAAGTCGTTAATCGGCGATGATTATTCTATTGAATATGTCAAAACTAATGATGAGGAGCGTTTAAATAAGAAATCTATATGGATGACTGGGATAGTGTGTATACACGGGAAGGTAAGATCCATACCGAAACCACTTATTCACATCCTCAAAATAACGAGTTGAGGGAAATTTTTCATCAATTTCGTTTTTAAGATAATGTAGTAATAGCTCATCGTATAGAGTTAACTATTTTTTTGTCTAATATGTTTTTTAAAGCCAAATTTCCATAAGTAATTTTGAGAAATAAAGTTTCTTCCAAAACTGTAGCTAAGAGAAACTGAACATTATATCTGAAATTAAAGCTTATCAAGTCTTTTACATAAGCACAATGTATAAAACAGACTAAAATTTCTATGTTAGATATCATAAAAAAGAGTTTCATTGAACATTGAAAATGAATAATCAAATTTTCAGCAAAACGTTTTCCTTTGACACCGACAACTTTATAACTCGAATATTTTTATTTAATTAGAAAGCTCGTGTTGGATTAGTCATAGGCACAAATAATGTGCGCTAGAGCATCAAAAACCGGTTTTAAAAAAAATCCAACAAGTGTATTTCTCATTACAAACTTTGAATAAAATTGCTAGATATTTTTTCATTGAACAAGTAAATGGTCAAGTCTCAACAGTAATTCATTATTATGCTATTCTAAACACCAAGGCGATTCAAAAATTTTGGCCCATTCGTTAATTTGAGTTCATTCATATGAAAATAATAATCAGAAGTAATGATTAGTGCTGAATTATTATATGAATATGTCGAATATTAATCAAATGATTATCCTTTTTTTTCTCATAAAAAAAAAATGAATCATAATCGATTATAATCGATGTCATCATATTATAATTCAAAATTTATTATCACCGTTTTTATATGAGTAGTATTGATCTCTTTTGTTTCGTCTTATGCAACATACAATTCACTTTTATTGTGTCAAAAGAGAAAAAAAATAATAGTTGTTGAATGGTAATTAATCCGACGAAAGTCTCTATTGATTGAGCAGAAAGTGTATTCATCGACAAATTTTTCTCAGATAACATGGAAACGATACGATGAATAGAACAAGAGATTCGATAATTTGTAGGCAATTTCCTCCAATTTGACTGTTCTCAAATTAAAAGTCTCTATCGCTATTTTGACAGTATAGAAATAATATAAATAACAAAGAAAAGCATTTTCATTTTGTTAAATATGTGCTTTATGAATTTTATTCGACGAAATAAACACTTACATAGATTTGCAGCTGTGGCTGCTTTGCATGAATGTTTGTTATATGTTTTTAAGAATGGTGATCGAAATTGGAGATTAAATCGAAATATGGTCTGTATTAGTACTAAGCAATCGTCACGAATTCAGTTGTTGGACTTGATGTGTCAGCAGAAATCTCCATAGTCGAAGATGGAATTACAGGTGTCTGACTGCTCAAGATCGAACTCGATGATGTCGTTGTTGAAGATACTGATTGTTGGGTGTTTGTTGCCGTAAGCTGGCTGATAGGAGATGTTGTCCGTGTTCGATGGTGATGTTCCCCTGGTCGATATCTTCCCGGTCGATGTCCTCCTGGTCGCTGTCCGAATCTTTCTGAACTTTCACTGTCTTGATATGCAGAATGCCCCGGCCCGCGAAGGTTTTCGATGCCAAATTGAAGCCAACTGGGTCGATATCCGTCTCTTCCACAAGTAGTGTAGCCAATTAGGGCAACCGAACAGGTAATCAAGAAGAGAAGCGAGAGATTATGCATAGTTTAAGTGATCGTTAAAACCGATTTAAAGCAAATGTCGCACTTGAAGGATGGCGCCTCGTCTTATAGTAGATTGAATTTAATCAAATGAGATTTTTTCAGTCGAACGAAGTCATGATTCATTATTTCGATGAATATTTAGTAGGTATGACAAGCGATCGAAGATTCAATTAGCATTCAATTGAAAAATCGATTCCTTAATTCACAATTCGAGTGCACTTCCTCTCTTTTTTCAATGGATTTCAGCCCAAGCTGAAATTAGTGTTGTAGTTTCTTGTTCATAAAACGTTTCAAAGGACTTCGCTTGGCTTATCAACTGTTAAATTGTCGAGACAATTAACACATGATCGGAATCCCACCATCTGCCAGTTCTTGGTGAGAAGAATGATTGCTAATAGACTGTGTGTGGACTGAGAAAGAAATCCGAACTTCAAATAATATGCTATTCATTGAAGAGTATACTCGAGCTTCTTTAGCTACTAGGATGGATTTGAATACAGATTTGAGTCCTCTCTTCATCAACATCTTCGATAGTAATACTATTTATTTATCATAAGTTTATTTTATACCTACTATTTCTAGATCTTTCATGTATAGATTTGTGCTGCGCACTTAGTTCGTTCAAATGAGATTATTTATATTCATATCAAGAAAACTTTCGATTAATTTATTGCCCAAAAGCAGATCTACTGTTAGGGTAAAAACAGACTAAACATATAGTCCATTAATCTGCATTGATACATGTTATAATATTTACGAATTGGACTCAGTTCAGTACCAATTTGAGACAACTATTATCAAAAGATAGAGAAGAAAGAATAGACAGAAATAATTCTCTGTTTTATGTGTCTAATGTTTAACATGAGACACAAGAGATTGATCATTTATTTTCAACTCAAGATTTTACTAGAACTTAAGAGTAGTGTAGCCATTGAATAGAATCAATAGAGGAATGATAATCTATAATTGATCTGCACATAATTCAGCGGTAGACCATCTAATTATTGCTTTCAACGAATAAGTCGAAGAAAATTTTCAAGTATATTTATCCTGACCATTACATTTTGTAGAAAATGTGACTTGCGACAACTTTATTTGATCAATCTTACGAAAATGTGTGCTATTTTTCTAATGGTTCTCGAAAACAAACAAAGCAAATGTTGTAAGCCAAGTTGATATCTCTTTGGATTCGATATAATTGCTAAAATTCTAAACTCGATTCGATTCAAGTTAACTCAGTCGAATATACGAAAAAAAAAAACAAAAGAATGTTTTTCAAAATCAAAGTCATTTTCAGAGATTGAACTCTTGTAATGAATATGAAATAAAACAATCTGAATAGAAAAATTCAGAGTTTGAACGAATTTTTCTAATAAGATATTATGAATATTAATAAAAAATGATGATTATAGATTCAAAGGGATGACATCACTATGAAATTATCATGATGGATCAAGGAAATCTGTCTGTTTTTCAAGTTGTTCAATTGAAGAGATAGCTATAGCTCAGATGATTTCGAGTCTTACTCAAAATCAATTCAAGTTTTTTTCGTATGACGTTATATAAGAAGTTCACTAATGAGTTAGATGAGATATATTATATAGTCTATACAGTTTCGATTTCGCTTAAAAATGATCTAATCAACATAAAAGAAAGAGAAGACAAAGCTGTTTCGAATCTTTTCAACACATATATTGATTATCATAAGGCTAGGATAAATATACAACATTTGAGAATAAAACAGATAACTTAAGAACATATCCATACTATCAATAACGTGTATAATAATTTCGAAATGAAAACACAAATAGAGTTCTCGTTGCTGCGTAAATTTGTATAAGAAAGATAAAAATCGAAAGTACTATAAAAGATATCGTTTAAATAAGATAACGAAATGAAATTAAAGTTCCATTGCACGCATCATCTGAGTGATTTTGTCGACGATATACTAATATAGCAAAAAAAGAGAAGGAAATTAATAATTAGAAAAAATTAAAAATAAAGAAATAACATACTCGAGCCTCGCCAGCATTCCGATAGGGGACTGTTTTTTCATGTGATTCGTCTGTCTTGATTAGTCCAAGCATTTTTGACTCCTGGAAAACAAGAACAAGAAACTTTATTGTGGTTATTTCGAATAATAAATCAATATCTTCCATATTTTGTTGTTATCCGTATTGAAAATTATGATTAGCATCGATAAATACGAACATTGAGCTTACTTTGAAAATAATTTGAATTTCGTTTGGTTGGAATTTAACAACAGGTGGTCCTTTCAATTCCTTGTACTGACAATCCCATTCAACTTCATAGGTATTAGATGAACCGCTTTTTTCAGTTAAAAATAACAATCGTCTAAAAAGTTGATAAATAATTTTTTTTTTCAAAAATGACAGGTTATATGTACTTCGAAGTAGCAAGAAGCCAAGTCGGAGTATCTTCAGAGCAATCAATGTGTGCAATATAACTATCGGATTTTGAGTGCTTTTCATCGTCGAGTGTCTGATAAATGGAAAAAAAAAGTTCAAATTGAAGATAAACTTTGTTAGACACTAACATTCAAAATATAACATCCTCTTATTTCATGAGCAGAAGAAGGTCGAATAATGCCATCTCGACCAACGTGACGTGGACTTCGAACACGATGAACAACTTCTTCATGCACGGCCACTCTGCAAAAAATAAACAAACCAATTATTCGAAAGATCTAAATAATAAGAAGGTTACTAACCGTTTGATCAAATCGAACGATGTACTAGTAAAATCAGCAATACCACTTGCTGGTCGTGCGATTAGTCCAAGAAAACCTTTACCTAAGCCTTTTATAAAACCTGGTGTACCTCTTTTTTTGGCACCGGCCACCGGCTTCTTCACTACACCTTTAACGCCATGGGTAATATCCTTTAAAAAAAAAACACCAACACTTATAGTATAATAATGTACAATATGCAAACCTTGCCAATATTTTTTCCACTTAGAACAACATCAGATACTGTATGTCCAGAAATTTCTTTACGTGCTATTCGAGCATTTTGATAATCTTCATCAAATGTTAACGTTGCCAAACCTTTGCTAGCTACACCAGTAATCTTTGAAACAGCACCAGCAGCACCACCTACGGCAGAACCAAGTAAATGTCGAGTACCGATTGCTATTCCTTCAATGAATTGTATTGGGCCTTCCATAGCACCCTGAAAGAAATATTTCGTTCAACTATAATAAAAAAGAGTTGTTCAACACTTGCCTTGTATGGTTCATAAAAGAATGATTCGACACCTTCCGCAACTCCACGTATAAGACCAAATGGATTTCCAAGTACGTCCAGACCGAGAACGACTACGTGAATTTGTCTCATCAATTGATTTTGATAATGATTCTCAGTTTCTTCAATCATTTTTCCTATCGTAAGTTGATCGTTTTTTCGTTCGTAACAGTTTAATCTATATTAATATAGATCGAAATGGAATCGATTTATTCGTATATATATGTATACAAACTTTAAAATAACATCTTGTACTTCTGCTACATTCAATGTCTGTAGCAAGAAATCAACCAATGGGTATTCAGCTAGTAATTGTTCATTTGAACTTGGACCATGCATTGAAAAGCTGACGTGAATCTATCGATTGAAACAAACTGATTATGAAATATAAAAGTCAAGAGTAAATGATGAAAAGATTCATTTGAACATCTTATAACCAAACAAATATTGACAATGTAATCTTTCTCATACGACAAAAAAATAATCTCATATTTGTGACAACCAATGTTAAAAGTTGGTGTCCGTGAGTTTTCAGCTTCATCCACTAGCCTTTAGAAAATATCAAAAGTCAATAAAATTATGCTATTACACTCTACTACTACTATTCATGTTTGCAGTGTATCATATCATAAATGATTTCTGGATCATTAATATCTTTACACAAGCAGACAATCAGAATAATTCGACAAACATGATATCCAATATGTGTACATCAAAAGCAGGAGTAATAATGAGCATCTGAGGATAGACTAGAATATTTCATGCGCATGCATTGTAGGAATATTCTTTTATTCTATGACTGACAAATTTTGTCCTTTTGGCGTATCCCCAATTATATACTCGACTTAACATAGCTATAGTTACGTTAGAAAATCTAGGAAATAAGATTAAAATTCTAGATAAAATAATACTCGTATATTGTGAAGCATATTTCAAAAACGAATCACCAGTAATAATGGATTTTACAGGATCTATCCAATAAAGATAAAAATTCGAAAGATTCAGTGGAATCTAATGAAACGAGCTAAGCTGGATTGAATCGTAAAAATATCAATAGCTAGCTGTATTTTTTAAAAGAAAGATGGAAAGATTGTATGAACATTAGAATGATTCTTTTATCATGTTAGAACATTATATGAATAAAGATCTGCATAATAAATGTTTCCATCGCAAAATTTTACACTAAAAGACATCTCCAGATAATGAATTCTAACATCGATAGACAATCATAAGTGTCTCCTTCAGCTTTTGATGAAAATTTTCCTCTCATTTCTTCGCAGTTTTTCACTTCCATATAACTATGAAATGAAAGTATATGTAATTGCTTAGTGGTAACTTTCATTCAGATGATATGTTTTCGTATTATCATCCTCAATCAATAAATTATTAACTGTTTTGTTCATCTACAATGGCTTTGGCAAAGTTCTAAGTCCTATTAAAAATTCTTTTTATGCAAAATTTCAAGTCGAAATTTGAAATTTTGAAATTTAAAATTCAAGTTTATATGAAAAAAATCCATGACTTATTTCAAATTCATTCAATATTCGATATCTCAAGAGCAAAGTCTCAGACAACTTAAATATTACAAACATTTTAATCATACATGAACACTGATAAAGTGAACATGATCTCGATCAAAAATCGATTTAGTAATGTTGAAATATTTTCTGTGAAAAATAACCGACGAAAATCGCTTACCTTGAGTGGAGACAAATGCATATCATCAAAGTATATTTTAGGCTCAGCTGGTAGACTATTTGATTGAGCTTCGGTAATCGCTTGAAGTGGCTTATAAATACGCTTTAGATCTGTATCCATATTAATTGTAGGCGCTGCTGCAACCTACGAATTTCCGATCAGTTTTAGAAATATAAGTAAAAGAAAAAGAAGAATAAACCTTTTCCGATTTTATGAATGTAAGAATCGACATAATTAAAGTTTGATCAGCACAAAAAACAAATTCTTGAACAAGCAGTTTTAAGTATCTGAACGATAAATCAATTGATTTCATGGAGAAATCATTGGCTAATATATGACTTACTTAATATGTGTCGTATTCGATCGTGCTGTTGTTGTTTTGAATAGACTAAATTCAATGAATGGTTTTCCAGCTATAGAAAGAACAAAAATCTTGTCGTAATATGACTATTAAATTGAAATGAAACATACGTATATCGGTGCCTGCTGCTTTAGAAACAATTGGATTAAGAACAACTGGAAATAAAGTGAATTCATGTTCATTGTCAATTTGTACACGATTGATGCGCACATGAAGTGCAGCATTGCTTGTCGACCAAGCCAATCCAACCCATAGTCCATCAAGTGGTTGCCGTTTAATACGTACTAGATGGTCTTGATGATCGGTCAATTCTGCAGTATCTTCGTCGAAAGAAACATCCTAATCGTAGATCGATTAATATTCTATTATATTAGCAGGCAAGTAAATCTTACGCGATTGTTGTCAATACGATACTTCTTGCTTGAAAATTCTTCATCATTCGAATGAGCATTGTGATCTTTGATGTATGATTCGTATTGCTCATCCACATTTTTATTGAGTTGATACGAAAGTGGTTTCATATGAGATTTGCTGCTCTCCATCCAGATATCTTTAGATTTACTTATACTAATATAAAACAAGTCGTTTCGAGCGATGTCATCGATTATCGCTATGCCAATATCACGAATGCCAATTTGTATATGTTGTTTCATTGATTCACTTAATGATGGCATCTGAAGTGAAAACCATATATATATATATATTATTGTCAAGAATAAATATATATTTAACGCACATTTGTAACAGCTTCAATAAGAGCTGTTTCTTCAGCGAAAAGTAATACTGTTTGAGGACCATCTTGAAATACGGCATAGTACACAGGTTGTTGATCTTTTGCTTCAAGAACACCACAAAGTGACTAAAAAGCAAATGAATCATATCAGGCATTGAATAGCTTTTAAGAACAACATTCAGCTTTAGAAAATGTTAGGCTGACATTGTGTTTGTAGATAATGTACGATATACCAAGAAGATCTGCACTTTTTTCTAGCCAGACGCACAGTGTTCGGATCATGCATCTATCTAAGATCTCTTAGAACTCAAAGAGACTTTATCATAGGTATTACTGCCGTGGCTTTGTTTTCGTTGTCTATTTTAATGATTTCTAAAATAATCTTTACTCAGATTGACTTACGTTAAGTTCAATTGATACACTTTGATCTTGACACGCGATGGCTAATGTTCGTGGTTTTAATGGATTGACCCACGTATAATAAACGTAGTGTAGTGGTGGCAAGACTTGCGTTCGTCTATTATAACGGATTTGTTTTTTTTTTCTAGAAAAAGAAGAAAAATGAAACACTTACACATCATTTGCTTGACAGAATGCAACCGGTAAATATTTTAAACAGTTGACCAGTAAGACAGGCGCATCGCCAATCTTGTAATCACCAAAAACAACACGAAATCCATCGAAATCAGTCGCAATAACTTCAACTTGAAGTGCTGGTCGCTCTTCATCATCCATATGCAACAATGTTCGATGTTTTTGTGTGAATGAGAATGCAGTTGATGATATTCGATTATGCGCATAACGAACACGCATGACAGCTCCTTCCAAATTGCGTGGCCAGAACGGAATAATCTATCACATGAATATCCGTGAGAAATGATAAACATTTTACTGAAGAAAAACTCACTTCTTCAGGTTTTACTGATCTCCATTGTTCCTGTTCTATCTCTGATTGTGCTTCAGTAACTTCAATTTCAATCTAGATTTCAAAAGTGAGAGAAAGTATGTGTCATAGACAAAAAATCGATCATACAGTTGATTTATTAATGACGACCGTGGATGGGGCCAATGTAAGAATTTTTGTCATACCAAATGAAGTAGTCACAATATCAATACAGATCTATTATTTCATAATTCAAAAAAAAAAAATTGTTTGAAATGATTTTCAATGAATTTTTTTACCATATAGGTTCTAGCATTGGATACTTTACAGCTAGCTATTCCAGTACTTTTGATTACATCAAGTGAAAAGTCTTCAGACCATTCTGACATCACATCATCTTGTTCCTTGCTGAAGAGACGTATATTACCCTAGAATACCGAAATATTTGCTAGTGATATTTAGTGTGAAATTGTTTGATTAATCTACTTTTTTCTTTTTGCTATCAAAATTGGCTGGACACACAAAAAAGGGTGGATCAACAATCTCGATTAGTGTCTTTTCGTCTTCAATCTAAACGAAGAAAAATAGTGGCTCAAATAAATAAGACATTGACCTACCTTGAATTCAAACTTCAAATCAGTACAATTGATAATCCAATATGGAGAATAGAGAGAGGCACGATAAGATGCTCGATATGTATCGACACGCAAGAGCAATCTCTAGAAAAATATTTAGCATAATTAAAAATTTCACAAATCAATCTAATTTCATACCAATGTTTCTTGTGTGGTAGCATTATGAAATATAACAGGATGATCATTGTGACTATTGTTGCTTTTACTTTTCAAATCAATTGGTTCCGATATCCATTTAGCATCGTTATAGCATGGAATCTTATATATAAAATATAAACAAGATAAGATATTGAAGAAGATTTATCAGAATTCTAATTTTGAAATCGACCTTCTCAAACTAAAGCAGTTTTAGATATGTATTTCTTAAAAAATTCAATAAACAAACATTGAATTGAATTGATTATTAGAAATAGATCTGACCTTCCTGCAAATTTTCTTACATATTTTCTCATATAGTTATGTTCGTCATAATTCAAAATGATAAATTTTAAAAGACAAAGTCGATCGAGCATTTGAAAATTTCATCCGATTGCAAGTCAAGAAATTAGCAAATGTTCTTTAAGTTTAAATGTACGCTATACATTTTTGGACATCGTCGGAACAAATTCTTATATAGAAGCTTATGGCAAACAAAATTTAGACCGGTTGATTCTTCTATGGCTAACATTGGTTTCTAACAGAAAAGTCGTAAATCGAGAGCTATGTTAAAGTTCTAGATATATATAAATATAGACATAAATCACGAAGATTGGTTTCTCATAAACATTAAATATGGGTGAATAAGCTCATATAATAAGTATTTTCATAGTACATAATAATTTGAAATCAGATTTCTGCCGTTAGTAAAAGAAACAAAATCGTTCTAGGCCACTTTCTGATTTTTCGATACTGAAGCATTGAAATTGTGTTCCTTAGTAGTTGTAATATATCTGTATAACAGTATTGCTATTGATTGAATCCTCTTTTTTAAATATTAACATCTTAGGGACGGTAGGAACGATGATGTTAATCAAGCAAGTATCGAAGGATTTTCTTTGAAGTTGTTTTTTATTTTCGAATATTTTTTTTTTGATTTATGCCATCTTTAAGGTATATTCTATTCAATCAAACAGTTGAGTACTTGAGGCATTTCTTTGGTTACGGGCTCTACTATAGCCTGACGTAATCTAACTAAATCCGATTACAACTATGTACGAATGATCAAACTAAATCATTACTGTAATTTTACGCTCTGGGATCAAGATTGAGATACATTTGAAAAAATTTCGGACACCAATATTCCAGTAAACATCGTGGATTAGGCAATCAGGTAAGATCTGACTCAAAGAAGCAACCAAATCAGGAATCATTGAATATTTTCAAACTTAGACAATACATAAGAACTGTCACGGATCATGCCAAGTATTTCGAGATAGCAATATCCTGACTACAAAAACTTCATCTGCATAGATATTAAACACCTAAGAAAAATTCTTTTACGAAAGAACGTACCACAAATGTCAGCACGGATTTTTTGCTACCCGATACACTATGATACAGGCGACTTGGTTTCAGTTCGACTTGTTCGACACTCTAAATGTAAGATAGACAATTAAAAATAAGTATACAACAAAATAAATTTATGATTGTTGAGAAAATCTAATTTTCATCTAGAAATAATCGTTTAACTCGATGCACCAAATTTCGTTCTTCTACTATTCTTTCATTCCAATTATATTTCATCTTAAATTTTTCTTAAGATCAACTTCTATTTATTTATGATAGGCATTGTATAAGTATTTACTGTCGTGTCAAGCTAATTATCTCGGCTTAAAAAGACAAACGAACAATGAATGTATCGTTTTTCTCTATTCAACATATTTAATCAAGATTAGTTTCTTCTACCAAGTCACCACACATATATTTCTAGCTATTGTAATCTCATGCAAATTCACACAATATAGAATAAAACTAATTGGTGAATACAATGAAAGTATTGAAAAACGTTCAAAGAAATCCAATAACAGAAGATAAATCTGTATTTTGTTGTAAAAATCAAAACTCTAGAAATATTTATAACTCATTAATTATTATCTTTGAACTTTGCCTGATATTATTATTTTAGTCATCATCAAATGAATAACAAGATCGCAGTATTGACTAAAGAACTACCTGAACATTTTCATGTATCTGATACAAATCAACTTCACATTCATTGACTTAAAAATAAAATTAAACACAGAGATGCAGCATCAGATGAAAAATGTATTAGGTTATTATTCGATTTATTACTGTCGAGCAAAGCATTACTACTAATCATTGATCATGAGCGACTAGTGATGCCATTTGATCAAAATGATTATTTTCCTTTTGATATGACGAGAAGCGAATAGAAGTAAAGACTGTTCTTTTTGAGGATATTCTATGGTCATTTTTATATGTAATTCAAATATGACGATTTTAAAAGAATGTAAATTCTGACTTCTGGATAATACTTTCAATGTATACATGTCTCTTTTTTTTCATCTTCATCAGATAAAAGTTGTTTATTCTGATATGTCCAAGAACTGATGATTATCTGCTCATAGTTCAATGAATGTATTCATCTCAAGTTATTTCGTTTGTGTATACTTTTGAACAAATATTGAATTAGTATGATTATGAACCTGAATTTATACTCGTTAATTTTGAAAATATCAAAGGAATTTTTTTTGATGCCATTCGAAAAAGTATTTTTTATATGACTTTTATTGGTCGTCTTAACAATTACTCTTGCTATGAATGTAAGATGTTTATTTCATGTTGGACAGTGTTTATAGCGAGAACTACAGTCGTAAAGACTTCAAAATAAGTACACTAATGATAATAACTTTTGGTGAAAGCTAAGACTATTTTTCAATTGTGAAAGAGTCCATTAACGTGTCTTGTCTATGCATTTAGTGATGTAAAACTATAATTTAAGAGAGACAAAGCAAAGTTTAGTTTGTATTTATAAAATGTCTCTAAGACAGTTCTACAAGACTTGTTGTGATCAAATACTGTTGTCTGAGGTTGACATAATGCTTTTAGCAATCGTATATCAATAGAATACTCCCCAATTGTCAAATTCGCTAAATGTCTCATACGTAAACAATATAGATTCAAGATTGACAAAGAATAAAACCGCGCCAGTGAATGGCCAAAAAACTTAGTTCATGGGTAAATGTCAGAGTAAAAAGAAAAGCCTGTTTTACTTACATCAATCCAACATTCTACATCAACCGATAAGAGATTAATGAGATGAAGAGCTAGTTTGACGTAGACATGAAATGAAGTTCGAATAGGTTCATCAGTATTTTCTGAATAAGCTTCCTTTGATTCTTTGTAGAACTAAAAAAATATAGTCTTGTAAAAATAAGATTACACTTTGACAATCCAATAACATACAACAAGATTAGCATCTTTGCCATTTTTCATCTTTAATACGCGATCAGCAGAAGACTCGATTTCCCAGTCGAATGAAATAAAATCCTGAACTCCATTCGTAGATTTAGCTCTTTACAAAATCTATCATTATGAATAGAGAGATAAGAGAATAGAATCTTACTCTTCGATACTAATAAATAGACGTGGATTCATGCGCACATAAACTAGTTCAAGTGGAAGATACAACTCTCCATTGGCTTCGACGCGAGCTACTTCACGATATGTTCCCAGTTCAACTGAATCAATATCCAAAATCATCACTGGCATTGTAGCTCTGTTGAATATCTTAAGAAAATAAAATAACAGTGAAACAAATCAATAGTAAATTCAAATAATCAAATTTACTTTGATGATTGAACTTAGAACTATTCGTCGACGATCATTGTATAATTGAGAATCACAAAGCAATTGAATAGGCCAATTTGGAATAGATGATGGACCCAAATCAAATATTCGTCTCCATGTTTGATTGATATCTATTGTTTTGACTTGATTGGCGATCTAAATAGCACACATATTTCAATAAAATCTCATTGAAAATGTAAAACCATATTACTGTAACAGAAAATTCTTGTCTTCTATTAGAGATTTGTTCAGCAATAGCTGGAATTCGTGTCGCCAATAATCGTTCACTAGGTACTGTTAATGGAATTGAATCATGATTTGTGAGATGAATTGGAGTATCTAATTTCTTATTCTCGAGAAACTTCGATATAAAATACATAAGAATGATTATTATTCAATGTAAAACTCGATCGATTGATCTACCTTAATTCCACTTAAATTATCAATGTAAATATCACATCCCGTCATGTTGTGTATTGATAACATTGATCGATCATCATCATCTTCATTCCATGGCGATTGTTTATTATAAGCATCTTTAATCATAGTGGAAAGGCGTTGCCCAAGATTCAGCATCGTCTTTGTTATGGTAACGTTGAGCAAATGATCAGCTCGAACATAAATAACGTGTTTAGCATCCAAACTCACACTATCATCTTTTGGTTTTTGTTCAGTATTTGAAGACGATTTTGGATCATCAAGTAAGAATCGTGACTGAAATAGTATCAATAGAATAATAAAATATCTGAACACAGTCAATCATCTATCTGTGTTTTCAACCGTGGAAGACGAACGAACTTCAATAAGAATTGCTCTGCGTATTTTTCTTCACACAATATAGTAGCATATCGCCTGACAAATATTATTTTTTGAACAGCTATGAGAATTACCATATATCAACTCAAAGTGGATCTATATGAATACTATTTTATTCCACTGCGTTTCTTTCATTACAAAAAGTTACTTTAACTTCAAAAGTAATTTTATCAAAATGAGTCTAACTGGACTAAAACAGTTCGTAGAACTATATTTTTCATATCATATTTCAAGTAGTAGATAGTCAAGATAAGTTGTAACTTATATGATTAATACGTAGAAATTCAGTAAACTATAACCGGTTTTAATATAAAAAGACGTTTTCTAGGTTACTCTTAGACTGAATTAATATATATTTCGACTAATATGCAATACAGCATTGGGCAATTTTTATTGTATAACATAAATATAGAGTATCATAAAGTGTCCTACTCAAATATTGTTTATGTCTATTTCTAGTTTTTCTAGCTAACGGCAATACAAAGTTGCAAATCCCTCATTTTACTTCGTTAGTATCATCATCAGAAACATAATAATCGTATTGATGATATCTAAGATTCTACCGAAACAAAAATGAATTACCTATTGTTTTTTCAATAGTTTCTTTCGCGATTATTCTTTCTTAAACCTTTTGATTCTTTCATTGATAATAAAACTCATTTCAGAAGCAAACTCGACTTTTTTTTCACAAAGTAACAAAATTCTCTATCGAATAAGTTTAGAACACAGCTTTTGAAGTATTATTCTATTTTTAAATGATAAAATCATAACATTCAACTATAGACTTTGATCAGTAAAAAAAATGAAGAAATACAGCGTACTCATGTTTTTATTTACCTGTTCGTCATTTTCTTCGTCTTGTTCATACTATGAAAAGAAAAAAAAAAATAATACATTTTGAAAAAAGTTCGATGAGTCATTAAGCTTACATTTGAGGTCGAACATGTAATAGACCATGGACATTCAACTTCACCACATTCATTGATAACTGGTTCAATAAGTGGTTCCCATGCCAATAAATTATCATTGAATAAGGCTAATTCAACATGAATTTTAGACGAAATACTTATCTGAATAGAGAAAGAAAGAGATGTGAAATAATATCCAATTAGACTTATATACATACATCACTGGACCAATTTTTCATATCGACAAACAGATTCGAAAGGCACATAGCTATCACTGGTTTAGTTGATGGGCCTGTGCCAAGTTCAAGTTTAATTTCGATTACTTTCAAAATCAAACTAAGCTAAAAATAAAAATATCGAATTAGATTGAATTTTCTGAGTTTTTTATTTCCAAACTTCTTGAGAGAGAATATTTTGAGTTTGGATTTTCTCTTCTTCTTCCTTCTCTTTGTTTGCTTCTTCAATTGCGGCTTTCTTATTTGAAGGAGTACCAGTAGTTAATTCCAAAACATCTGTCTGTTCCATTAATTCTTGTTTCTCTTCATTATCTATTAAAAGAAAGAGTATAGTATATGAAAAAAAAAGTAGAAAATTGCTCTGATTTATTCAACAAACCTTTAATAAACCAAAAGCTTGCATCTTTGAATGGTTTTGTATCAAAGATTCCTTTCGAATTAATTTTTTCCGTTTCATTTCGAATGGGAGTCTGAAAAAGAATACTTATATTTAAGAAAAATAACAATGTTTACTCTATTACTTCAAGTTTGCCCATTAATTTTACCAAATTGAGAACTGTACGAACTGCTGATGGAGATATTTGAATGGTAATATCTCCAATGGATACATCGATCTTTTGCTGTTTCAAGTTCATAATTAAAATGGCATCGATACTGACCGGTTGCAAAATCTTTGAATATAGAGAGATAGAAAATAATATAAACAAAAGAGCTATTGTTCTTACGCGATATTTGACTTTGGAATTTTTCAATTCAGCGAAATTTGAACCGTACATAGTCAAATCTTTCAACGAGCCATACATTTTCGTATAATCACCCACAATGTTCATATGTATTTGAGAGGCAAACTGAACAAATACCATACTCACAACGTTATCTTTCTTTTGAAAATATTTTCTTTTTTACACTTACACTAAATACAAGACAGTTCGAATTGTTATTATGTTGATCTTCAAGTAAAATAATTTCTGGGCTTTTGATTACGACATTAACTTTAGTCTGAAGATAATCACCAGCTTCGGGTGATACATCTTGGGTCGTAACTAAAATAGATTATTCAAGTTTCATGAGAAGAAAAAAACGAAGAGAAAATATACAGAGAGTCTCGGACGGTCTCTCAGGTGAACGTAATATAGATTCTGATGCATCACTGGATGGTCGATTCGGTCGACGGAATGTTGATATGGGCTTTGCTGGTAGTGGCATATCATAATCAATATCAGATAATGTTTCTGAATACATAATTGATGGATGCGGTTTCTTCTCATCACTTAATGACAGACTCGCGATGAAAAAGTCATGTAATACCATAAAATAGTCTGGACTCATGCAAATATAAAAACTTTCAAGTTGAGCATCGACTAATAATATAATAAATGATCATAATAGTAAACATTTTCAACTTCGTTAACCTACCTTGTCGAACACCACTAGATTGTTGTTCATTTTCTTTTTTAAATTCGAGAGTAACTGTGAACATAGGTGCACTTGGATCGACATTGAAGTTTCGATCGATCATACGTGTAACACTATTGAATTCATTTGCTTTTCGTAGATCATCTAATAAGAGCGTTTGTATTTGTGCTTTACCATCGTAACTTGAATCAGACAATTGCCGAAAGTGAGCTTTGAGCATTTCAAATCGCAAATCAAGAAATTTTAAATTTTCATTACGTGATGCGTGTCGAGGGATGAATTTTGATTCGTTGAGATAGAGTGTTATAGCAATTTTCTTTATTTCAGCATTGAAATGAATTTTTTCCAAGACTTGATTACCATTTAAATTTTCTTGATTTTTGTTTGTGATAGTGACATTCTTTTGACTATTTTGTCTATATTCAGTCTTTTCTTGAACAGTAGACTTTGGTATCTTGTGGTAAATCTTTTCTGAAAAATTTTCCTTAACTATTTTCATTATACATGCATAATCATCTTTGGCTAGTGTAAATTGAATAGTATCCCAATTGGTCACAATAGAAATTTGTGGTTCATTTTGAACCTTTTCTGGATATAACAGACGATCGATCAATGTACTAAGTTCAGCACATTGAAGTAGACTAATGTCACCGCATGTTTCATTGTTTTTGCCGAGTTGAACTCGGCTTGCAAATAATTTTTTCATGGTTACTACTTGTTGCTCGATAAATGAACGATTTGGATCATCGGTAAAATGTGTCTGTGCCGTTAATTGGCCCAGATCAATGAAAAGTCCTTCGTTCGAATAAGAACTTGTTGGAACAAGTATGCTCGGTGCGTCGAGTGTTACATCGAGACGAAGTTTGCGTGCTTGATTTTGAAATTTTTCCATAGTTTCAGAGACAGCACTTGGCTCATTTGAAGAAACATCATGTTCAGTTTTTTTCGTTTGGAATAAATTGACTAAGTTCAAAATGAGGTCTACATGCTTGTAGAGAAGGACTATATTTGTTTTAATTAATTGTATTTTGATATCACAATCAACATCGTCAAGTGTTTTCTCATATTTTTTTGGATAATTGAAGAGAGTAAAATCGACACATAACAGTTGCTTATCAGTGCTTTGTTGCGAGATAATATGACGATAGCGTGCTTTTGGATTAGGATCAAAGACACGCAAATCAGTAAGAATCAAATTGGCTGATGTTTTTTCGACCGAATTCAATATATGGGCACGAAGGCCTTGACTTTGAATATCAATTATTTGGAAGAATTCGAGTCCAATTATTGCACGTAATCCTTTTAGATCAGCATCGATTTGAAATGTTGGCATTCCTGATGCCGGATCCTTCTTGACAACATGTTTCGGATTCTCTTTCGCTGTAGCTCGTCTTTTTGCTATTGTATTGTCCGGTAAATGATGTTGTTCTCTCGATATTTTTTCCATAAGATTATTTTTAAATCGAATAATGGACAGAAGTGCTTCTAATTGTAACATGAAAACAGGTTTACCAATATGCAGACATATCTGATTTTCGATATTATTGTAAGGAATAGATGCAAAATTAGGATTTACAGGTGATGTCAGTAAGCCATTGATACTAATTAGTTTATCATTTTCTCGATCACGAACTCTTTCCATAGTAATTAAACAAAGTCGATCATTATTATTAGTAATAAATTGTTCATGAACAATAATAAAATCTGCCAGAGATGCATTGAAATCGATGTCAAATGTTTTCATTGTAGCTCGAGCAATAATTGATAGAAGTGAAATACGAACAAATGGCTGAGTATCGTTAGATGAATCTGATAAAGACTCTTCGATGAGTAGATGAATCTATAGACAACTTTAGATTATTTAAAACGTCATATATATATTTAACTTACTCGTGGAAGTTCAAAAGTAGCTTCAAGTTCTATTATTTGCTCTTGTAAATCGACTTTTTTCTTGACGATCTCTGCTGGTATCTGCTCATTTGTTTTATCTTCTGCTTCGGCACTAGCTGCTTCTTGCATGATTTTTTGTACTGGTGTCATACTTTCCACTGCTTCCAATGTTTTTTTCGTGTTTTGACGAGGCACAGTGACTTCGAATGTTGTTGACTGTTACAATTCGATCAACACAAATGATATCAAATTGATAATAAAAAGAAAAGACGTTTACTAACCTCTACGAGTATTTCAGTTTCTACCTCTTCTTCTTTCGATTCAGGAAATGGTATGGATTGAAAAAGTTTGACAATTTCGAAAATATGTGTATCAGACAATCGACCATCGATAGCTGAAATTTGTACATCGATCTTCCAACTAACATAATAAGAATTAAAAAAAGTTTTTCAAAATTTTTGAGAAAAATAATTGACATCAGAATTCTAACAATTCTGTTTTTAACACTTTTTACATACTTAGGAAAACTAGATGAGTCATTTCAAAGTTTTATTTCTCTAGCAAAACAATCACCACTTGTCTGTGAGACATAAATCTGTCAGACAACGAATATTTCATATGAGATAATTTAGAAGAGAACTTCTCTAAACTGCCATTGTTCTTTGAGACTACGATAAGACATAGGTTTACAAGTGCCGTGCTCCGACAGCTATACTTAAATAATTTTTTTCGTTAATTAACAGAAATACGCATAGTCTTGCACTTTTCATTGATTTGTGTTCCTTTTGTACAAAATGAGTCTTTACTTCCTCTGGAAAGTTCTAATCTTGAGGGTAAATTTTTATTTTATAGGAGGGGAGTACTCTAACAAAATGCTTCACATTTTAATCGCAAAGAAATTATATTGGAAGCTTTTTAAGCACGAAAAAAAAAGGAATTATAATAATTTTTTTGAAGTATAAAATACTTCAAACACCTGAAAAATACTGAAAAGTAAGACGGAGTACATGTCAGCCCAACAAAAACACTTTAAGTACGAAGAAATTGAGAAGAAAACATGAAAACTGAAAGTAGTGCAAAAAATAAAATAATGTCCATGGCTTATATTGACACAAGATGAAATAAAAAAAAGATTGCTTATCGAAATAACAAAAATTGTAAACAAAGTCTCAATTTTTATATCTGAAAATTTCGGACTATACTGAGTACCTAAACATGTATCTATAGCATAATGTGAAGAATATAACGAAAAAAAGTAAGCCTGTAATATATCATGGTTGATAAATGGTTGCGGTCCTTTCTTGAAATCGAATGTATTACTTCAAAAATAGCTTTTCTTAACACGTTTCCGTCAGCATAAAAATCATGAACATTCTGTATTAGCAAGTAGTATAATCGAAATTTTACGAAATATCTCATTTTTCTTCGGTATATTGACTTCTGATGCACTCTGTGTTTCTAAGTATTGTTCGGTATTTGAAGTGTTTAAAAATTTTGAAACTAGTTTAATATTCGATTTTTTCTTTCTTAGTTTTACTACTCCTGTTCAAGATTGCTGTCTTTGTGTTCATTTTGATTTTTAAACATTTAAACTTTCTGAGATCTTCTCGGCCTTATTCATTATGTTGAATTTGAACAACTTTTACAGATAATAATCTGAAGAAATTAAGATAAATATGATATGAGTCTATTAAAGTCTCAAAATTCGAAAATTCGTTCTGTCAATTGGAAACAAGAGATTTCATGTTGGTTGAAGTTTTCAGCAAACTCTGAGATTTGCATAGAAATCTTTAAAAAGAAAAGAAAATTCTCGTAATTAGAACTATTTTCAAAATCAAGTTATGAACGCTGATACAAGGAATCTTTGAAATCTCTACTAAACCTAGGGATATACCTGTCTTCGATTTGTTATTTCTGTAATTAGTTTTGTTACTGTTTGACAATCTTGATGTTTAGGTTTCTCTCAAGAAAGTTTCTATTGTTCAAACTATATAGACTAATGCATATTCTAACATATTTGAAATTCATTCAAAATCGAAAGCTCACAAGCAAAATCTTTACTGAATTTTGTTGTAAAATGTAAAAATAGAAATGTTATTGCGACAATTGAGAGATTTACAAGAAAAGACTATTCAAGCTTAAAATGCGTTCTTATCAGTTATTTCTAGCAAACGATTTTAGTTGGTATAGTTGATCTATTAGAGAGAGCTAATTAAGATTACGCACGCTGGTAATGCAGCATTTTCAGAGTAAATACACTTGTGTATATTGACAAAGACGGTGATTGGCTTGATTAAATTCATCGGAGTATTGATGCCAATATGTGCATTGAAATAAAGTAATTGAATGTTCTCCAGGCTGAGTTTTAATGGAAAGTACGGAGATTCATGAGCATCATCGATATTCTAGAAAAAAAAATAATATGATTAGCAAAAAAAAAAACTGCAGTTTTGTCCATACTGTAATATTTTCAGATGTTTTTTCTATTTCTATGTCCTTATCACTGTAACTAGGACCACCTTTAAATGTAAAATGACCAAAATCCAAACAGAGCACTGAGCAACCACTAAAAGATAAAAACGAGAATGATTGCTTTTCAATTTAGACAATCTTGTTTTTTTTCCTACTGTCGATAAACACCGTTTTCTGGCACGAGAAAAAAGGAAGGTTGAAGATCAATATTAATGTCTGATGCTTGAATATTTTTTAGATAATGATTGAAAAGAAAATGTGTACGATATTTGATATCATTAAATGCTGAATAAGCAATTTCTTTGATGCTGTAAAATTAGACAAAGATCATACATGAATAAATACTAAATTGGTTGTTTTTACCCTTGTAAATCACGCTTTCTATCAGGCTGGAAACATTCGACAAGTTTGTTGATAGTAAACTAATTTAAAAGAAAAATACCGGTAGTTACAAAGCGAGAGTTTTTTTTTCTGTAAGTAATACCGCATCATAAGTGATCTCGAGCGATTGTAATATAACTTGTATACGATTTTCAGATGGTCTATCCAATGGATTAGTTTCATATTCGATATGCAATAGATCTTTGTCTTTTAATTGTATTTCATTCGCCGGTTTAGCAAGAACGGGACGATTATCATTCGACTTCTCTATTATGATTGCATCGGCAGTAACACCAAATACTTGGAATGAGCCCAAATCGATAACAAATCTAATAGAATTAAAATAATTAGAAAAAAAAATCATGAAATTATCAATATCTTACAGAAAAGCTGATTTGGCTGGACGCCGTTTGAATATAAAACCAACATCGGGTATAGCGGCAGAAGCAATTACTTTGAGTCTATAAGAAAAGAAACGAAGTATAATATGATCTTCCAACGTCAATATCTCTTTATATGAACATCTTTATTTTGTATAATCGATTATTTTAATTTCTATTGAGCAATTTTTTGCTGGAAATAGACTTCTCTATAGTAGACATTGTTTCTGCTCGATTCGGTACTTGTCCTCGACTACATTCATGAACATAAAGTTCAAATTAACGTGGTGAGTATGTTTTTTTTTCCTGTTGAGTGTGCATACACTTATTATTTAATAAATAAAATGATATAGCAAAGCATTTGTTCAATGGGTCATGAGTGATTATGCTCAAAAATGTCAATTCTCAATCAGGAAGTACTATTTCAAAGAAATACTAAAATTTTAAAAAATGAATATTAAGACTTGTTAACTTTCTCTCTAACAAATAAGAACACCGTTCTGTGAAAATGTAAATGAAGATCTCTGTATAGTACAAACTTTTGAATATCCTCACAGATGTTTACATTAGAAAGATTTTCTCGTAATCAAAATGCATCGCTTACTGTGAATCGTTTTCGTTGATATTCGACCAGACGTTGATTTCGAGCATACTCAGTCGAATTGTCAGATCAATATCAACATACTAAAATTCAAACATTGATAATTCAATACTATCGTTATAGAAAAGACATGTTTACTTCTTCTGGATAAGCTAATGATGTATCATTTTCTGCATAACCAATGGCATCGTACAATTTTTTCTTTTCATCATCTACTGTTGCACTGTCAATATCGAATTCTGCGAAAAAAAAAAGAACGCCCATTTAGAAAAAATGACACACACCTGGATAAATCTACCTAGAGTCTCTTTGTTCGACTCTCCAGTCCACCAACTGGTCAATTTGTCCCACCAACCCGGTTCTTTTTGTTCTGCCTTCTTCTTTTTAATCTATAGAATATTGTTAGAAAAATCTATCGAATACAAATAAGTTAATGTCTACCTCAATTTCAACAGTTCGACGAATAAAAAGCAAATTGAATACATCGATCTTTCTTTCGAGTTCCTAAAATATGAATAGAGAAAAGAGTTGAAGCTATGTTTACTAGATTGTATTACTTCAGCACGTTGCTTTTGCTTTTTACTTGTATCACCAGTCAATACTTGGTAGTAAACGTCATGATACTCGCGAAATCGATCAAGATTAGCCTTGATATTTTCCCATTTGTACGATGCAAGTCGTGGTCGAACTTCTTCATTTAAAATAGCAACATAGGCAAACTTCCATCTAGAAAAATTAAATCAATATTAAAGTAAGAATATGATCATTTTGATTCTTCAAATCTCTTACCGTCGGACAGTTAGTTTATCTGTAGTATTATTTTCAATCATAGCATAATATTTAATATATTTCAATTCTAAATTAAGATGATCTTGAAATTCGAGTAGGTCGAGTAGATCGCAATACTAAACAAATATTCCAATGAAATTAAAGATTATTTATTTTTCTAACCTGATTACGATTGATATTTAAACTGATATAATCTAAATCAATTTTAGCATCAAATACTGGTCGTGCATAATCTTGTTTATGAGGTGTGGCAGCAACTTTTATTTTAACGCTTATATTTAATGGTCGTAAAACTAAGAAAAATTTCATATTGGGTCAAGAAAACATGATAAAAACTCACTATAAGCCATGTGATCTGGTGCTGTATTCTCCTTCTTGACAATATTTGCTTGTAAGTTGTCCTTTAGTTGCCAGAAAATTAGAAACAATCAAAGGAAAATATTTCTAAAAAAACGTACGATAATGTTCTCCTGTGATAATTCTGACCGAGATTTGACGTCAGAATTCCAATAAATTGACAAGCCATTCAGTTCTCCTAACTAAAGAGACCAAGAAAAAATTGATGCATTTATTTACATACCATTAGCTTACTTTGTATATAATTGGTGACTCATCCTTCGATACTACAGGTACATATTCATGATTAGTTGTCTATTTAAAAAATACATTTGATTTTCATATAAGAAAATAGAATTGATGAAAGAAATCCATACGTAAAGTTTGATGTAGTTGAGTGTAATACCAAATGAAAATGGATGATCAGGTTTTGTTGTTTTATCTTCATAAGCAATATGAATATTGCTTATTGACAATGTCAGATTACGAAGAATATGTATTTGTAACCGTTCCAAAAATGTATCTTTGCGCTTTGACACCGTTTTGGAATTTTCTGAAATTATAATGCATTTAGTAAGAGAAAAAACAAGAGAGCAGATCTTCGACATGAACAAACTCATCGTTTTCGCATCACAGTATAAAAATTTTTTTTTCTTAAATTTCGACTCGTGATAGTGACTTCATAAAACATATGATTAATTGTGAAAAACTCTAATCATTTGAGAACATTCGGAATTATCAATGGTATCAATTACAAGAGAAATGTTTCAGTACAATCTTTATAGGAGTGAAATGTGAAACATTACAACTCTCGCATTCTATTCCTTAATACTCATGTTTGGCAATATGATCGTTTTACAAGTGACCGAAATTTCTTTGATTTGATCCTTATACTTTAAGACACCCAAAGAACTGCTCATGTACTTTAGTAATAGATCTTAATCTCACCATATTCTTCTCTTTCTTTGCGAAATTGTTCAACTTTGAGTACTTCTTTCATTTTTTCATCATACTGTTTTTGTTCATCTCGTTCAGGATCATAGTTGACATCTATACCAACACATAACAATGAAGTCAATATTACAGAAATATACATTATATGATAACAAACCAGTTTTCGGTGTAAGAAGCAGATAGAAACCATCAATGACGACTTCAGTCGGATGTGTATACAACTGTTTCCATGGAATGTGAAGTGACAATTTTTCTAAAATAGTTTACTCAATTTTTAGAACAAAAAATACTCGGCAATAACATACGGAGGTGACCAGTAGCCACTGTAACAGGAAGATTAAAATTGGCCTATTTTCATGAAAATGAACACTTCGATGTGAATCTTATTTGTAAAGACTTACTAGTGCGTTCGGTTTCAACGACAAATTTTCGAGAACAACATCACCTAAAAACGAATATCACCGATAAATTTTAAACTAATAACTAGACTTACCATGCCATAAGTCAATTTTAAGTTGTTTCGAATCTAAATTTTCAATGTAGTCACCCAAAAATTTATCGAGCAAATAAGCGGCCAAATGTGCAAAAACCATTTTGATATTATTTTTGTGAAAATGGTATGTTGATAATTGCACACGTTCAAGTGAGCAAAAAAGGAAATTTTCGTAACAAAATGAATCTAGAGAAGATTAGGAATATATATTTATTGACATTGTCATATTTTGAATGGTTAGTAATCTTCAAAACAAATGACTGTGAACGAATCTATAAATACTTCAGAGTTCAAACAGTTATCCATAATATACTACTTAATACTTAACAATAATTGACTGTACCATTAAAGAATTAACAATATTTACATATAGTGTTCGCTGTAAAGAAAAAGTGCACGAGATCAAGAGAGGAAGAACTTAGAAATACAACAGATAGAAAATTCTTATCAATAATAATTTATAGGCATAGCACACACACGAAAGCGACCGAGAAAAAATAATAACAATCATGCATGAAGAAAAACAACTGAGTTATATTGTAGCGAATTCAATGATATTCATACTTGTTTATATAATCGATTGCAACATAAAACTTTAAACAACGGCTCTCTAAAGACAAAATCATGATATCAGTTACGCTCCATTTAAATATTTTCTGGCTTAACTTCTGTGATTTGTAAGAAGAAAAGAAAACGAATCGATCCTAAATTCTTCACACATGAACATTAGAAGTTGGCTTACGAGTGATGATGCTATGACACTTGTTGTCGAGCAACCTTACGAAAATCCTGTCTTCGGGAATCCAAAGGTTGAAGATTCCAAGCGTATCTAACTCATCGTAACACTTTTCCATTGTACTAACTTCACATCAAAACGCGATCACGAATGTCAATTTCCTATTAGTTAAGAGAAATTTAAATTAGTTGCACTTTGTATCTGATTAAATGAATAATCAAATGAAAATATTCTATTTGTTTATGATAATTCATTCAAGAAATATATTCATTGAAGCAACAATTCGTGGACTATTGAAACATCTTACTCTTCATCAAAATGAGTTTTGCAAAGAAAATACAAAATAAAGTTTATAATATTTTTCGAAAATTAGCCATTTTTCAAAATCATAATTATTGTTTAACCTAATGCCTGCAAAGACTTGTGGGTGAATAGAGTACTTGTTTCAATTGAATGTTTATTTTGAATAGCTTTTTTTATGTTGTAATTGAGATGAACTATTTTCCTTTGAATAACTGAGAAAAGACTAAGTTGTTATTTGCAAGAACATATTTACTAATAGATTACAAAAGTATGATTTGTAACCTTCATGTCATTTAATTTATTTTTACAATTTTAGAAGTAAATGATGAAACATCTCTTTTATAAATGTTTTGATTTCTATCGATAGAAAAATTTAATGACATTCACATCTTATCATTATATTGTAAACACTTGATTACCATGGTTAAAATAGTAGAATTGTCAGTACTTTTCCTAAAACAGATCGTTTTTGGTATGTCAAGCAATGAAATGATTGTGAAATTGAGAAAAGACAAAATCTTTTCATAATCTTTACGTCTAATAATTCTATATCGGTTTGTGAACAGACGTAAAAGCAATTGTTTACCACGTAATGTTAAAATCTGAATGTTATCAAGTTTTTCTATCTACATAAATCAAAACAATCATAAAAGAAATATTTCATTATGGCTTCCAAATTCGTCAAAAAAAATCTTCAATGATGAAGGTGACAAATCATACTTTTATCATCTAGTAGTAAAAATCTAGTTGCAAATAACAACTTGGATTTTTCTCTGTCATTTAAAGGAAATAATTCATTTTAATTAAAATACAAAAAAAATATTCAAAACATTACAACTTGCACTCGCAAAGTAATTGTTCATGAAAAGATTTCAATTAATTCAATAAGAATAAATATATGCATGAAAAATATTGATCATAGATTTCAAAAACCTATTTAGTAATTCCTAGTAAAAATTCACTTAAATAAGTACTTATTCACCAACAATTTTCTGATAATGTTAGTTTCAAAACTAATTATGATGATGAAAAATGTTATAAATTTAGTTTTGTATTTTTCTTTTACAAAAACCATTTTGATAAAGAGTAGGATTTTTCCGTAGACTACAACTTATTGCTTGAATGAAAGTATCATATAACAAATCATATATTGATAACTGTAATAGTATATACAGAATATATCTCTTTGATAAAGTATCATTAAATAATAGAATAATTTTTTATTCGATTATTTATTTTATAAATAAAAAAGTGCAAATAATTTAAATTTAAAATCAATTAATTTTTGCTTGATTTTAATTTATTTTAAATTTAAATTACTAATAATTTAATTAAAAAGTAAATATAAATCGACGCTTCTAACAGTAGCATTAGTTTTCTATAGAAAAACAGCTGGATGTTTTATTTTTATTCTAACCTTTCTACTCTCAGCATGTGAAGAGTATTTTTTTTTTCTCCACAAGGACGAATCTTCAAGGTTTACTATTTCGATTTCTTCGATTTATCTTACCTGAATAGTGAAAGTATACACGCCTGTACTTCGATATAAATACATACAGAAAAATGACGTAGAAAGACACAGAACGATAGGGTTCGCTCAGGACACATCGGAGTAAAACCATGCAACACGTGGTAACACGAGCAACATGAGTAATAAGAGAATTCGAAAAAGAGGAGAAAGAGTAGAACATATGACAAAAAAAGAACGAGACTGCTCACTATTGTACATAGTTAAACAAGTTTTGTCACTGGATAAAAACTGTTCTACTCACAAGCACCTAACATACGAGTGCTACTTTTCTATTTTTTTTTAAAAGCAAAAGAATGTTTTTTTTTTTATGTTTTAAACCGGAATAAAAGATGAATCTTTTTATTTAAAGCAAAAAATCAAGGTTAGAATTTTATTTACTCAACGGAAGGGAAGGTCATGTAAAATAGAATAAGTTTGCGCATGTGAGTACGTTTGCTTGCACGTGTGATATCACGTGTTCATATTTGTGAGTACTAAATAGGTAGCAAGTTAAAAATTATTTATTTTTGTGTTTATCTTTGAAAAAAAGAAAGTGTCAAGTATGTTTTGATTAACAGCTGTAGTCAGAGCTAGGAAATACAGAAATCATCAATTCTTGACTCAATTAATCGTTGAGTGAATGAAGAGAAAAGGGTACCAATTTTCTTACGGAAGAAAAAATTTAAGACATTTTGCAATATTTTGTCAATTGTTTCGTTAGTGAATGCACAAACTATTGTCAAAAATATTCCATTCGATTCAGAGTAGAACAGGCTACATTTTGATAAAAAAAAAATTTTGAAAAACTATTAGTTATACTACTTCAATATTTATTGTTAATCATTTTGATTGATTAATAACTAGGGAGAAAGAGAGACAGAGTACGTTCATACTTGAAATTTATTTTGGCTACTTGACGTTACTTTCAACTACTTGAAGGTACTTCAAGTTACTCTTAATTGATTTACATTATTTTTGTACTATTTTCATGTAGTTTAAGCTACTTTGAGGTACTTTATACATCGATTCTCTCGTAGTTTTATCAGAGAGATTCAATGTCGCATAATAACCGGGAAGACTTTAGAGACAACATCATTTTATTTAACAAACTGGAAACTTCAATCAAACAGACACAAAGGAAAAAAACAATACAATAATAGCAATTGACACTACAATTTCTTTTTTGACAATATCAATTCATGATTTAGAAATAGCTACAGAAGGATGTGTTGGCATCAATGTCTACTTGAAAATATCAAAGTACTTTCGAGTACTAGTAATAAAGACAAAATAATACATGTGAACACATAAAGAAAAGCTTATTGAATAGAAAATGGATCCAAACCACTTCACAATTCCCTAGTATATTATATTTATATCATGTTCACCAACTATTTTTGATACTATTTAAATTTACTATGTGCTGGTTTTTTTTTTTCAATTTTGCATTGCTTTTTATTACATGTAAGATAATTTGAATGCATCATTTTCTGCTTCTATGAAAAATGTTTCTTAATGAAATGAATATTTTTTTCTTTCCAGCATACAAAAAATTATGTTTGTCCTGAATAATTCGCATTTTAAGGGATTTTTCTTTATGATTCATCAATATTTCAATAAAATCAAGTGTACAAACAAGTCAAATTCAGAGTCATTAAAAAGCTAAAACGAATTCTTCTTCTATGATTTAAACTAAAATGAACCCCTTATCCTTGGCAGATCATCAGCATTATACATACAGTATAACTAGTACAAAAAATCAGATTTTTCTGATATATCATAGATACTGAATGATAAGAAAAAGCATTGGGACATCCCACCAGACTGATCAACGTCATACACATATGTACAGATTAATTTCATCATTGTCACGGATTAATCAAATTTCAATATGAACAATGGCACCAGCCTTGACTATGAATGTCGAAACATTATTTTCATTTTATAGAGAAAAATATACACATGATATCAACGTAGATTTAAAAAAAAACTTTCTTTGTATATTTATTAACATAAAAGATCGAAATGTGTTTATTCGAAGATTCTTTTATTATTGATTAAAACAAAGAATTATGTTAAATTCTATAAACAAATTATTTTTGCATGAATGAAAGTCAATATTATTTTTCTTTTTGAATGTTTTTTTTTTATTTAGAGAATTTGAATTAGGTTTGATCTTCAAAAAATGTAAGAAAATTCAATCGACGATTTTATATAAAATAATTATATATTCTATGTTTATTGTCGATATTGATTATTTCAAATGAATAATATGAAATGATTTAATGTACTAGTAATAGTTATGTTGAAAATAACCTATTGTGAATTTAATATTATGATTAAATATTTCTCAGTTAGAAAAATATGAAGATTATTTAAAAGATAAATTCCATTAAATGAAAGATTATTTTCAATAAATATTTAATATTATTTGAACATTTTTATAAAAGAAAAACAATAAAATATTTTCATTCCTAAACAGTTTAATACATATAAAAATTTGAGCTAAACTAAGACGCCTGATAAAACTAAGCATGATAAAAAAAAAACAGAAATGGATTGAATTTTCGATGACTATTTCTAGTGAAGAAGTCTTATTCGGCAACCTCACCTAAAATATTTAATAACTGATCGAAGTCTATCGACAGATCAAACTCGTCTATAAATAATAGGCAGTCAAATTCGATTGCCTAGAAGATGCCCGATAGATACTTTCGTCCAATAAAATATGTTAGTTTTATGTTGGCAGTACGTCGGCTAATTGATAATATTCCAAACGGACGAATCAATGAATAGACAAAGAACCATCGAATACATATGCTCGACAGGCAGTCAGGCTACCTATATATATATATATACACTTGAGAATAAATCAAGCAAAGGAGACATTTTTTTTTTCTCTTTCAAAACAACATCAATCATTAATTATTCGTTTCCATAAAATGAATACTGAAGATATTGCCACCATTATTTTATCGTCACATTATTCTGGCACGTGTGATCATCAACCACTGATAAATGAAGATATTCTTAAACTCAGTGGTCAACAAAGAAATATTATTTATGGTCCAACTCTTTTTGCATTGAAGTATCGAGTTCTTCCTTGCACAGTTAATCAAAATATACATTCTGCTCTTCGAGATGATGATGATGATGATGATGATTGGACAATCAATTCTATCTGTCCGTTCGTGACTTGTATGCGAGAACGACAATGGTCTTCAAAAAGAAAACAAGGAGGAATGTATCATGCTACGAGGTTAGTTAATTCATTTCGATTTATCATCAACGAAAATAATTTAACTTTTATTTCTCAAACAGTGTTATACAGTTTATTATTAATGAATATAAATCTAATTCAGATACATTTATTTACGATTGGAATTATGATACATGGGATAAGAGTTCTCTTATCGCCAATGTTTACATTGATTTGGGAAATTATCTAGCAGGTAAGAACGAATTAGTTTTATTCGATTGAAAACATTTAGTTTTTAAAAGTTGTTTTTGTATTTGTCCATTCTTAATAAGATTTTAATTTGTTACTCGATTCGATAGTTTCAAATAGCTATCTATATTTCTCTAACGATTCGAAGTACATACATTTATATGAATATTGAAATAAAGAATAATTTCAAAACAGAAATTCTACATTCTTTTGATATTTTAGTGGAATTCAATGGTGGTTGTATAAGTCCAACAAATATAGACAATCCCAATGATCTAGAACCAGATCACAAAGAAAAGATTTTCTATTGCTTTTCTAATGTTAAGGTAAGCATTCGATGTAAGTCTGATATAGTAGATTTATTTTCATAATCGAATTTAATTAGATGAAAATATCTGTGATTATCGTTAACTAAATAACATATATGTTATAATGCATCAATTTAAAAAGTTATGGATTTACTAAGTTTCCTAGAGTTTTTCAAAAATCTATGAATTGTATTAAGCTTGATTTGAAATTATATTCTATCTCAATGAAATCAAAGATAAATAAAGATCATCCAAAAATAGTATTTTGAATTGAAAAAATAAGATTATATTTTAGAGAATCAGATTTGAATTTCGTTATCTTCAAACAAAATATTTCATTAATCAAAATCCTATCTGAATTCCACTAGATAATCATCATAGATATTTTTACATATATTTAAAGAGAAAATTATTTATTCTGAAAATTCTCAAGAAATTTTTCTACGAAGTCAAAAATTGATCTTAACGAAAAATCTATTCAGATCTTTCATATTCCACAAACAGCTGATCGTGCACGAACACTTCTTGAACAATTATCAAAATTCAAACTATTTCCGATCGCTGAAGCCACATTACAAATAGTTTGTCATGATACTGAAGATGGTTTCTATACTTCATCCATTCGAATTAAACAGCCTCATATTACTGATCTTAAACTTCACTATGGCGATGAATTTGAAATTATTCATGAACATCTTCTCGAAAAACTACAAGAAAAAGATTCAACTGGTATTACCTTTCTTCATGGTCCACCGGGTACTGGCAAGACAACCTATTTGCGCTATTTGATCAATGAAATCAAAGACAAGAGTTTGATCTATATTCCACCTGATCTTGTCAACGTAAGTCAATGGATGTTCTATTTTGCAAGTAAACCTCCCTTCGATGGTTTTCTAATGTCTTGGCTGCAATTCGACCTACAATTCCTATATTTTTGAAAAAGTCCTATTTTTGTCTTATATTTCAATAAAAATTTCTATTTTTCCTATATTTTATCGAAAAAAGAAGAAAATTTTTCAAAATTTGGGAGTTTTGCTTTTGTTCTAATAGTGTTTAGACGTTCAACAACATATACAGTGTGTGGCCACATGTTTTGAACAAACTCTTACATTACGATGACATATTGAAATAGTGTTGTTCAATACTGAATGCGTTAGTGGTTTTTAGCTTTAAAGATTGATTTTAATTGATTTTCGCGTTTAATGTTCCATCAAGATAAGCTTTCCGATTGACACTGTTTTTCGAAAATTGATTAAGAAAAACAAAATACAATTAAAATTTATCTTTAGAATTTGGAAAATTAGACTTATATTGTATTCAATTAGTGCTACTTAAAAAGGATTTTTTTTCAGTTGAAAACAAATCAAATTAAGTTAGATCTTTTCTATTTTCTTGCACGTAAAAACAATTAAGTCTTTATTGGACGAGGCTGGGCGACAATTTTTGTAGTTTAATACTTTTGTCTAAATTTTGTAAACTGTGTTCTTTATGATGAGAAGAGGACAGAGTTTTTCATCCTATTGTGTTTGTGATATTGTAGCACTTATTTGTTGCTGATGTTCCTAGAAAAATGACGTTGGACCTGAATCAAATTCAAGAAAACAAAAGGTCCAAGAGATTTCGTAGTTGAGTAAATATGACCCCTGCATGAGTATGTATCTTGTTTTAAAGAAATGTTGATCTATTATTTGTGACTTTCATACGATTTCACTCTGAATTTAATTCTGTACCGAATGGTATATTACCTAACTGAGAAACTATCTTAATATTCTGGTTCCTGACTGTTCTGAAAATGCCGAAATTGAGAAGTTGCGAAATCAAAGAAAAGTTTAACCAAATCAGCTGAAAATTTCAAGAATGACTCCTATCATTGTGTTGAACGATTGATAAAAGTTTCACATGGATGTAACTTCAGCTTCTGATTGTGCCGAATTGTCAAGAAAAAGTTTGCGATCTTTTAATCATGACATATAATATTTGGTTTTTTTTTTTTTATCCTTTCAAAGTTTATGGTCTCCTTTTTTTGTCATTATTCATTGATTAGTGAAAAAGGTTGTAAAACTTTAATTAAAGTTCTAATGATATTTGATTTAACTATTCATGTCAGAAGAAATGAATCAGATAAGAATCCTGATGGCGAGTCCCCAGTTCTTGCTTGTTTCATTAGAAAGATATCAAGTGAAGAAGTTAACAAAATCAAAATAATTGAGCAGAAACAATGTATAATAAATCCTAGATTTTAGACAAACTTGATCCTCTAAGGATTTCTATTTTTTTTTTTAAATTCGCAATCGGAGGCTAGCCTAATCGAACTAAAGAGAAAAATGATATATTCGAACATCTAGAGAAAACAAAGAAAACTTAAGATGATAAACCTGTTTTTATAACTTCAAACATGGTTTTTTAGTATCTGTGATAGTTTAGATGTTAAATACCATTATGTACTAGGAAATTCCGAAATCTGTCTTGAATGAAGTGTAAAAGTTGTCATATACATATAACATATCATCTAATGTTTTCAGAAAATATTTCTCAAAAACGAATAAACTGAAATTTTTTTTTTTGTTCTAGGATATGACGCAGCCTAGTTTCTTACCCTTTCTTATGCAACATCCAAACTCAATTCTGATCGTTGAAGATGCCGAAAATATTATTCGCGATCGAATAGAGGAAAACTTTCTACCCAATCAGGCTGTGGCTAATTTACTCAATATTTCTAATGGTCTTCTTGGTGATATTATGCGTCAACAGATTATTTGTACATTCAACTGTGATGTCAATGGCATTGATCCTGCTCTTTTGCGCGATGGACGACTTGTTATCGAACACAAGTTTGATAAGCTAAGCGTACAGAATGCTCGTCGTTTGTGCGTGGAGTTAGGTATATCCGGCAATGGTGACGATATTCATGAACCAATTTCTTTGGCCGAAATCTATGCACGAAAGAATAATGTAGTGACAGATTTGTCGAACAGTCTTGGAAATGGTCAAACAACAACGAAGAATAAACGAACATTGAAGATAAAAAATGAGAAAGCTGATCCTTTTCTTGGCTTTTATTCTTAATTGTTTTCTTTGTTTATTTACAGGAGATATAAACGAATGAATAGAAATATCTAATGTCATTCTCTTTAGTTGTCTTTAATTGAACTTTTACGAGAGAAACGTATTATTCAGCAGTGACAAGAGAATCGTTGTTGCTGTGGATTTCAAATAGTGAAGTTAAAACCAGAATCTATTATTGACATATAGAGTCTTGTTACAATTCAAGATTAGCCATCGATGCTCATTATTATTTTCTCAGAAAAGATATCATTTGGTATCTCAAATCACTGAAAACTAGGATTATTTGATCAAATCTGGATAGAAAAAAAAAACGATATGACTCAGTATTTATAGACATTGGAACAATATCATCTTTGATGAGTCAATTTCAAACTTTCTAGACTTATCAATGACATCTTCTAAAGATATTCGGCAATATTTACTAACGATTTGTGTGTTACAAGTTACACAAAAGCTATCTAAATTGGTTCTTTTCTTTGGAAATCTGTTTTAAATTGGAAAGTTCATTACCATGAACATAAAGAGAAGTCATTGGATAACTAATCGAAAAAATGAAGAAGATTTTTCTAGTTCATGTCGATTATCTACCTCTGAGATTTTTTATTTTAAACATGCTATCCTATAGATGAAGACGTCTATGTTGACTATCAGAGCTCATTGTATCATACTGACAGCTTTGCAATAATAATTAAATATGAAATTTAGTTTTCCAATGATCGTCTAGATTTATTTGATCAATTGAATTAACCTGAATTTTGAAAGTATGTTATTTATTGAATTAACAGCAACAATTCCATGTGACGAACTTCAAAGAATAAACTAATTGAATTTTTTTCTTCATTGACTAGTTGAGAGTGTGAACGTGAATGTTTCATAGACAATTCTAATGCTTTCAGATATCAGTTAAAGACCTGTTTGAAAGTAAATGGATTATAAGTGTACATATGGTGATCAATGATTCTATACTGTGATTAGAGCCTGGTGGTTTCAAAAAACTGGAATCTAGAGCCGAACCGGAGCCGTGAAAACCAATGGAACCGAAAATTTGTAATGACCATTTATGTTATCTATGTTTCTTCAATCTTTTGTGACTTTTGAAGAAACTATTTTTTTACCAATTCATTTCATAGAACTGTACTTGAGGATGTGGATATAGGTGTTAGGAATATGAAGAGATCATATCTACACTCCACACCTGCTTTGAAGGATTGCATCAATAATTCGATCGTTTTGAAAAATCTCAAACAAATAATTGCAAGAAAACTATAAAAGATCTAGATGATCTGAAGCCCATAATACCAAGAAAAGTTCGAGTAAATATCAATGAAAATAGTATATATTTTTTTGCGATATCAAACAAAAGCCTAATTTTTGTGTTATAACTAAAGTGCTTGCTTTTCTCGAGTATTGATGAACTTTGTTTTAAAAATAAGAACATCTTAGTTTTCTCTTTTAGATAGAAAAAAAGTTTGAATTGAATGGATTTATACAGTGATCATGACTTCTGAGACATCCTCTATTAAAGTATTAGTTTTATATGAGATTGGTTCACGTTTTTCTAGAACCAAATCGATCCTATCTCTGTTAGCCATATATCTATTAATGATAATAATTCTCGCATGTTCTTTTACAAATTAGTGAAAAGATGCAAGAGTCTCAATTTTTCTACCACCTCATAGACAAGTTTATTAGCCACAGTAATATCATGAAAAGAAAATATTAGGGTGTCTTCCAAACAGGCTCCTAACGAAAATAAACCGACAGCTTTTTTGAATATCTCAATAATTGATAAAATAGTAAAAATGTCAAGAATCATGCCAATTTGATAGTAAAGGTTTGCAGTCTTTATTTTTTTGCTTCTATCCATCAATATGAATGAACCATTTATAGATCTAATCAATTACATTCCGCGAATGATTTGACTATTTACTTGAAATAAGGATAACAACGTTCGAATAGATAACTGTGCGTTCTTATTCTCAGATAGATCTACTCTCTATTTCAATATCATAATCATTGAAAGCATAAGAAAATTAACTTTCTCATTATAATCACTTAGAGAAGGTGCTATATAGGTTCACAAAAAGTGAACATCAACAAACTTGTGACATTTATATCTCGTTTTGAATATAAAAATATCATATGGTACTTCCAAAACCTTGTGTGATAAACAATAAGAAAAACCACAGAAAATCCATATATATGCTGGTATTCATATAACAGGAAAAAAAAGAAAAGAGGATCTAAGATATAAACTGAATTTACAAAAGAATATATGTAAGAAAAAAAAACACAAATTCCTTATCAAGAATTTTTAAAAATTCGTGTTTTATAATCTTGAAATGACCTTCACATGATATAATCGTTTCTCAACAATACAAATCTCAGCTATTGCGAAGATAATTAAACGGGATTCGGTTCTGTTTTTGTCCACGCTCTAATCAATCCACAAATAGAGGTCTATCGTTCCGATAATTGAGACATTCGTCGGATGACTCATCTGTCAGATTGACTTTTTGAAGCGCACGTAACTCTCGGATTTAAATCCGAGGTTTCCGCATTTATTTTTATTTAAGAATCCGTTATATCAATGTTCAACTATATTTATTTAGTTAGGTTTTATAGAAAATATTTTCAACAACTAGATTAAATCATAGCTGAGCAACTCTCAAATCTTCGATATTTAATTAGTTTATTTAAATAAGGTGCGTAGAAAGTCTATAAATTATTTTGACCTCTAAAAGAAAAACAAAATAAATAATAATTAAAATAGAAAAGATTTTTTCTCATATTCAATATAAAAAGTAAACAGATTGAAAGAGTTATATGTTCGACCTTTTTCAACTCCTCTCTATAAGTATTATCGAATACCTTTCGCAAATCGATCATTTAACACAACGTTAAAGTTTCTATATACCTTTTCAAAAAACTAACACTGATTATTGACAAATCTAGAAAATTCTCCTAACAAATATTTGACTCCTTGTGGCAACTGGTAGACTCAACGCTCTACTACTAAGACTCTCTTATTTAATATAATAGAAACTGTTGAATGTCGTATTGATAGGATTCTAATGATAGATTTAAAACTAAAAAGAAGAATAATATAGTTCGAATGTAAACATAGTCTAATCTGCTGTTTATGAATAAGACTCTAAATATTGAACTAGACATAATGATGGAATTGTGGAAAGTATTTTTGGTGTTGACATATTTATCAATCGACCATTATATCGTATAATCTCTGAATTGAAATAAAGTCGATTTGATGTCAATGATTTTATAGAAACGATCGAATCATATACAAATATGTTTTGAATATCCCATGTGACATTGGAAACAAATAAATCGAATAGAATTTATTTGTAAAAGCATAGGTTTCATTCGTATCAATTCAAAAGTAATTATTATAAATAATTAGTAAATAAAAAGTTTAATATAATAATTGATTAGATCAATTGTGATGTATTATAGAGTCTATAAGACAATGAACTTTTTTAAGGAAATATTTAGCTAGGGAACACTAATTAGAATTAAAGTTAAAATATCTTTAAAAAAAAATCTATATTAATATTTGATTATAGAACAACGAAAAATCTAATAACCGGTTAGATATTGTAAAGGTATTATGTTTGATAAGATAATCTCTATAATATATTGTTAATAAGGTTTTCATATAGTTTTATATTCTAATCTGAATATAGATTAGATTTAAATATACTTCTAGGATATAATTCGAGTTTTTATTTTCAACATTAACGTTCGATTAAATCTTGTTAAATTGTTTCATCTCGATGATTTGATGTCAGTCGCATAGATAAATAATATTTTATTTGTGCTAATAATAATCTTATTATCTCATATATCTATATGAGATAAACTATATTCATTTTGTTGACATTGACGTTAAATAATATATTTATAGAATAAAAATTGTCAATACTTATTGTTAGATAGTGTTCTCTGATGATGATGATGATGGTAGACGTTATTGTTTAGTTTGATGAAACTGTTCAAGCTAGACTGTGCCATATGATAATCATCTAATAAATAGTATCAGATTGAAAAACTAATCGATGATTGTTGTTGTTGAGCTTTTAAATAAAATAATTGATGGATTCGTTTCTTTAAACGGATTCTTATATTAAAATAATCGATTAACAATTGTTTTATTCATAGTTAATAACCTTGAAGATGATGCATATCAGTGTTCTAATAATGATAAATTATCAAGAATTGTCAAACAGTCCAGTTGAAATAAGTAGATTCGTTAATAAATAATTTCCAATAAAAACTAATCATAGGTTTAAAATGTTAACCTAATAATCGTTATCTCGGCTAACTTTTCACATTTGAATCGCTTTTTCTAGACTTATTGATTGATTATTCCCTTTTCTGAAAGAAAGGGTCTTAGATTCGGAAAATGTATGTATGTTTGTCTGTCTGTCCAAGCCAATCAGAAGCGAGCTTTTCTATTTTTAGGTTTTTGGTCATTCTGATGAAACTTTCCTATAGGATATCGGGGGCGAAGAATTTGAATCCGAGGTCGGATTTTATATCTGAGCTTTCGTTGGTCGGAAAACCGACCAATCAGAAACGAGCTTTTTAATTTTCGGCTTGTTGAGCGTTTTGATGAAAATTTGCTATAGGTTATTGAGGGTGAGGAACTCAAATCTAAGGTCGGATTTTTTATCCAGGCTTTTGTTGGTCAGAAAATGGACGAATCAGAAACGAGCTTCTTGAGTTTTCGCTTTTTGGGCGTTTTGATGAAAGTTTACTATAGGTTATTTGGGACGAGCAACTTGAATCTGAGGGCAGGTTTTTATCCGGGCTTTCATTGGCCAGAAAGTCGAGCAATCAGAAACGAGATTTTTCTATTTGTAGAGTTTTGGGCGTTTTCATGAAACATCCCTATAGGCTATCAGGGGTGAGGAACGCGAATCTGACATTAGTCTTTTCATCTGGCTTCCTATTAGTCACAAAATCCATCAATCACAAAC